GTGTCTCCTGGGTAGACAGTGTTGTGACTGGAGTGTCTCCTGGGTAGACAGTGTTGTAACTGGAGTGTCTCCTGGGTAGACAGTGTTGTGACTGGAGTGTCTCCTGGGTAGACAGTGTTGTGACTGGAGTGTCTCCTGGGTAGACAGTGTTGTGACTGGAGTGTCTCCTGGGTAGACAGTGTTGTGACTGGAGTGTCTCCTGGGTAGACAGTGTTGTAACTGGAGTGTCTCCTGGGTAGACAGTGTTGTAACTGGAGTGTCTCCTGGGTAGACAGTGTTGTGACTGGAGTGTCTCCTGGGTAGACAGTGTTGTGACTGGAGTGTCTCCTGGGTAGACAGTGTTGTGACTGGAGTGTCTCCTGGGTAGACAGTGTTGTAACTGGAGTGTCTCCTGGGTAGACAGTGTTGTAACTGGACTGTCTCCTGGGTAGACAGTGTTCTAACTGTCTCCTCTAACCTTACTATATATCTCCAGAACACTGATAGGGTCATATATATATATATATATATATATATATATATATATATATATATATATATATATATATATATATATATATATATATATATATATAGGAGATATGCAGCCTGGATGGGGGGGGGGAGATAGCCTTTAGAAATATACCAAAAAATGATAACCTTAATTGACCCAGTCTTGATTTTTTATTCAAAAATTTTGACCTTCCCCCAAAAACAAATTACATTACTTTTACAAAAAATGCAGTTTAGGCTTATGGATTTAATAGGCCTACATATACACTGTATATGTAACTAATACGACTGATGATGCAATCTGTGAACTGCCTGAACCATGTGACTCGAATCGTGGCCAGTTTTTTGGGTCAAAGCAAAAAATTATATATACTGATGTGAGACTAGATGCTTGTCTTTGGTATGTGTCTGGTGAAGGGTTCTTAATCCAAGACCTTGGAGCTGTATTACCCCTTCCCCTATAGTAATAATAATGTGGCTGGCACCATTAAAACTCACTTAACATACAACTGATGATCTGACATCATTGGTAAACATTGTGACCCACAAGCACTCACCTGTGTCACTAAAAACACAGACTACGTAAAAAGAATCAAAATTTACAAAGATTCTATGTGTTTAAAGTGAGGTAATAAATGCCACCATTGAATGGCCTTTTTTTGGGGAAAAAAAAATTGCCTTTCATACTCGGAAAATGGGTTTTTTTGAAATTTCGAAAAAAATTTTGACTGCAAAATTTTGGGGTATATAATAAAAAATAATATATATTTTAAATATATTAAAAAAAAAAAAAAATATAATATATAATATAATATAATATATATATATATATTATATATAAAATATATAAATAAATAAATATATATATAATAATATATATATAAATATATATATATAAATATATATATATTAAAATTTTAAATTACAGGGAACCTCTTTTAACAAATTTTTAATCCGTTGGGAAAACTTGTTCGATCCCAAGTCAATTTTCGCCCTTTTAAATTTAATTGAAATCAATTTAAAATTCGTTCCAGCTTAATTCCTGCTTCAGGGGGCATGACAAAATAATATTAACCTACTTATTTCTCCACACAATTCAACTAATATGACATAAAAACAAATAAATAACATAGAAAAAAATTATACACTGTAGAACAATAAAATAATTATTAATGGAGACTGAGGAGGAAGATTGTGGCGAATCAGCTAAGAAAACGTCAGAGGTGTTAAAGAGAAAAAAGGGGTTTTAGAGGAAAGAATTAAATCTGGGGACATACGACATTTAATACCTTGAGAAGAAATGCAGAGCGCAATCCTGTCTGTTCACACTTTTTTTAAGAACTCTTTGTATACTTTTTACGTTTATCTCACAACATTTTCCCTCTGGAATTTTGTTTCTCCTCAAACCAAAACACCAGCAACGACGTCCACTGTTTAGTAATTACTATTGCTGGTGCTATAGCTTTTATAGACTTCCCTCTATTTAGTATTGTACATATATATATTATTATTATTAAAATCGGGGGAAGCGCAAAACCGTACGTACATATAGAAGAAGGGCTACGCTTGACCACTCGCCAATTCCCAAAAACCCTCATACCTAGCTCTGCTTATAAATATTCCTGCTTTAATTCCAGAAAATCTCCCCCTTTTTTCTTCTGGGCACTCTCCACACTACTTTCTCAGGATCCATTTAAAAAAAAGAAATGGGGCGAATTAATTGCAGGAAACGTAAAAAAAAAACCGATAATTGGCCGAGCGCGAGAGTAGCCGGTGACCACGTGCTGGTTTTTCAACTAAATTATATCCAAGACATAAAAATTTTTATTAAAATTTATTATTTGTACTTTACGTATTGTTAAATATTCAAAATTATTTTTATTATTTATATATTATTTTGTTATTATTATTTATGTATTTTTATTAGTAGTACTTACATAATAAAATAATTATTATTATTAATATAGGGGCCTGGACACAGATCCCGTTCCCAACAAGACCCTCACCACGTACGTACACTACTACCAAAAATAATCAAATTTTTATTACCCGGAGTTTACCTGGGAGATTTTTGGGGGGCCGCCCCCGCGGCCCGGGCTGTAAGGGGTCCTGGGGGACAGCGCCTACAACCAGGGTGTTGCTGGCGCCGCAAAACCCAAGTACGACCACAGCCCGGGGATCAGGAACTACCTTTTGTGCTTGCCATGCCCCTTGAAGACTGCCAGGGGTCTGTTGGTAATCCCCCTTATGTGTGCTGGGAGGCAGTTGAACAGTCTCGGTCCCCTGACACTTATTGTATGGTCTCTTAACGTGCTAGTGACACCCCTGCTTTTCATTGGGGGGATGGTGCATCGTCTGCCAAGTCTTTTGCTTTCGTAGTGAGTGATTTTCGTGTGCAAGTTCGGTACTAGTCCCTCTAGGATTTTCCAGGTGTATATAATCATGTATCTCTCCCTCCTGCGTTCCAGGGAATACAGGTTTAGAAACCTCAAGCGCTCCCAGTAATTGAGGTGTTTTATCTCCGTTATGCGCGCCGTGAAAGTTCTCTGTACATTTTCTAGGTCGGCAATTTCACCTGCCTTGAAAGGTGCTGTTAGAGTGCAGCAATATTCCAGCCTAGATAGAACAAGTGACCTGAAGAGTGTCATCATGGGCTTGGCCTCCCTAGTTTTGAAGGTTCTCATTATCCATCCTGTCATTTTTCTAGCAGATGCGATTGATACAATGTTATGGTCCTTGAAGGTGAGATCCTCCGACATAATCACTCCCAGGTCTTTGACGTTGGTGTTTCGCTCTATTTTTGTGGCCAGAATTTGTTTTGTACTCTGATGAAGATTTAATTTCCTCATGTTTACCATATCTGAGTAATTGAAATTTCTCATCGTTGAACTTCATATTGTTTTCTGCAGCCCACTGAAAGATTTGGTTGATGTCCGCCTGGAGCCTTGCAGTGTCTGCAATGGAAGACACTGTCATGCAGATTCGGGTGTCATCTGCAAAGGAAGACACGGTGCTGTGGCTGACATCCTTGTCTATGTCGGATATGAGGATGAGGAACAAGATGGGAGCTAGTACTGTGCCTTGTGGAACAGAGCTTTTCACCGTAGCTGCCTCGGACTTTTACTCTGTTGACGACTACTCTCTGTGTTCTGTTAGTGAGGAAATTATAGATCCATCGACCAACTTTTCCTGTTATTCCTTTAGCGCGCATTTTGTGCGCTATTACGCCATGGTCACACTTGTCGAAGGCTTTTGCAAAGTCTGTATATATTACATCTGCATTCTTTTTGTCTTCTAGTGCATTTAGGACCTTGTCGTAGTGATCCAGTAGTTGAGACAGACAGGAGCGACCTGTTCTAAACCCATGTTGCCCTGGGTTGTGTAACTGATGGGTTTCTAGATGGGTGGTGATCTTGCTTCTTAGGACCCTTTCAAAGATTTTTATGATATGGGATGTTAGTGCTATTGGTCTGTAGTTCTATAATAATAATACATAATAATAATAATAATAATAATAATAATAATAATAATAATAATAATAATAACAGTAATGAGAAGCTTCAAAGGCTGCCAGTAGTTGGCTCCACCATTAACAAATATTTGTAACCATTACTAGTACATTTTTCACTTGTCTAGACTTAGTTGTCTATTAGTATCAGGTTAAGTCTGCCCAAAATACATCAGCATGATAATGGCTTTCTTTGCTTCAGTTATATTATGGTATGTAAACACATATTGTAACTTTTGCAAAAAAAGAAATATTTTGTTTATTTATTTATTTAAGGAACCTCTCGCCAGGGGGAAGTTCATCCCGAAATTTCGTTCGTATCCAGAAGCAAAAAAATTGACCGAACCACGGTTCGTATCCTGAAAAATTCGCATGGTTTCGCGTTCGTAAGCCAAGGTTCCACTGTATGTATATATATATATATGATAAATTAGACACATGTGCAACTCTTGGGTATCTTTATTGAGGAAACGTTTCGCCACACAGTGGCTTCATCAGTCCATACAAAGGAGAATCTTGATGAACAGGAGGAGAATGAGGTAATCAGTCCCTCAACCTTGAGTCGATGTGGTCAGTCCATCAATCTTGAATAGAATTGGGCACGACCTACTTCAACATTGAACATATGTTACACGACCTATGACTGCTGCACCTCTCCTGCCAACGGTTTATAAGCTCCTTCTCAGCACGTATGCCGTATTCTATTCAAGATTGATGGACTGACCACATCGACTCAAGGTTGAGGGACTGATTACCTCATTCTCCTCCTGTTCTTCAAGATTCTCCTTTGTATGGACTGATGAAGCCCCTGTGTGGCGAAACGTTTCCTCAATAAAGATACCCAAGAGTTGCACATGTGTCTAATTTATTTACATGTCGATTCTCTGAACCATTCATTTTATATATATATATATATATATTATATATATATATATATATATATATATATATATATATATATATATATATATATTATATATATATATATATATAAGGGGGGCTAAGTGTATCTATATGGAAAATAAGACTGGGATTTTGAGTCTGTAATTTGAAGACACACTTAAGGATGGTGATACATATATAGGGACTCGATTTGAAATATACAGCCTCTCCTCACCTAACCATTACACATAGTATGCTCCTCACTAAGCGAGGAGCATACTATACGTAATGGTAGTGGGTTTGTGTCAGCCATCTCTGATATTGTTTTAATGTCACCTTTGCACCATTTTGTAACATTTCTGGTATATTTTTAAATGTTCATACAGTAGTGTACTGTATATTGTAATAAACAGAATAGAGGAAATCAGGTCTAATATACATTATTTAGGTATGCATACTGGTCAGAGAGCCCACCGCAAGTCCAAGTCGTCGATAAACGAGAACGTCGCTAAGTGAGGCAAGGCTGTATACAGCTTTGAAATTGGGTCCATTATTTTGAAAAACCCTGTATTAGTACTAATGTATGTGGTCATTAATGACTTCAGAGGATTGACAGCCCCCTGTAGTTGATGGGAAGGGAAAGATTGGAATCCAATGGTTCAACTCTGATATCCAGTCTTGAACAATGACATCTGTTCGCCAAAGAATGGGATTTAGTCGTCCAAGATTGTAATCCAGTCATCCAAGATTGGAATCCAATCCTCCAAGATTGGAATCTAGTCATCAAAGGCTGGAATCCAGTCATCCAAGACTAGAATACAATCCTCAGGACTCAGGTCTGGCTAAATCATTACACACAATTTTTTTCGGTAAAATCTCAAGTGTTGACATTGAAAGCAGACATGCATTGATCCCAAGACTTTTCACAAACCCAAACAAATTTAAATAGACATGTGATTAGGTTACAGAAGGCTTGGTTGTGGCTAAATTAGGTTAGTTTGATGTGTATTGCCTCAGCCAGACTTAAGTCTTGGGATATCACTTGTGGTTGCTGTGGGTACCGATACCACTTTACTGGTTCTTCACCTCGAGTATGTCAACAGACTACGGACATTAAATCAAGCCTATAGGGAAAAAAAAATATTTTGTCTTTATCCAGAGGCATTAGCACTTAAGTATTGGTCATTTTTTTTATAAATAAGGCAAAATATAAATCCATGCCCCCACTATTTTGAAGAAAAAAAATTTGGTACGTGCCTATTTTAGGCTGTGATAGGGGCATTATACCTTGGTAATAACTTCACACATATATACGTTTATATAATTGCATATACAAGAGTAAAATACGCACTCAGCTCACATACATTAATACATTCGTGTAAAACATTAGTCTTGGAGAATGAAGGTACAAAAATCACCTTCAACTGGAAATCCGTTTAGACATTTTTTTCCTCATATAACATCTGGAATGTGTCGGCATCTAACGTAATAATCCTTGAGCACATCATTGTGTAACACTTACCCGTAGAGTGGCAAGTTTTATCAACCTAAATGAGTATCTTACATAGATCCAGTGCTTGGTAAGGTATATTGCGTTAAGTATTTGCCAACTGCACCGACCACTCATATCTCTTATACTATCGTTAAAACCTACAAACATCTATAACTTCAATAATTTTTATAGTAACACCTTCATATATAAAGATCTCATCAATTAATCGAGAACAAAATATAGTTAAATCCATTTGTATAAGTTTTTATATACCTGCCAAAAAGGAATAATTTTTAGGCTTGAAGCCAGTTGTGGTCGCCAGGGCAGTGCCCTGTACCCTTCTGGCACTGTCACTTTCTTATAGTATGCGCTGTGTACCCTACGGGCATTGCGCGTCCCCATGAATGCTCACTAATGGTACTGAAATGTTTTTCTGAAGGGGGAGGGTGTGTGGGGGTGGCAGTTAGTGCTTGGACACGATCGTTCTCAGCTTAAAACTTATTTGTACTCACTTTCCTCATAAGATAAGCAACCATCTCTATCATATGTAAACGTCTGAGAGAAATTCCATACCTTTTCTCCAAAAATTTTTGAGATTCATATTAAAAAACAAATTATGGTTTTTTTTTATTTGCGGGTATTCTCCCGGCACGGGTCTAATTATTTTTTTTTTTTTGGCATTTTGAGAATTTATATTAATTTCTTAATAATTTATGAATCTTAAACAAATTTATGTAACTTTAAAAAAATAATTTAAAAAATCTTTTTAAAGTTATTGATTTTAATTTTAAATTTATCTTCAATAATTACTAATAGGGGAAATTTATTGTGCCTTCAAACTCTACATTAATTTATGCCTAATTTATTATTTAACAAATAATTGCAAGAATTTTGGAGGGGAGACTCAATTCTCAGAAAACTTTAAGATTAGCATTTCTTTACTTTTAAATTACCCACAGACGAGTTTCTTTTGTGCTTTAAGACTTCATGTTAACTTGTGCCTAATTTATACCTCTTGAACAAATGACAGCACAATCTAAGAGTTAGAAAAAAATTGATGATTAAACAAGAGTTTCTAGTCTAGCAAGCATTGGTCTAGCTCAGTGTTGAGCTGCTTCAAGGTATCACACGTTAGTGGTGTCTCTGTGCCAGTGATGAGCACTGTACATACAGTAGGTAAGTACCTTGGGTACAAGTGCCCCAACTGAATCGTGTACTTAATTACAAACTGAAGTACTTACATCTCTCCCCTTTGATTGTAATCACAGCATTACCTAAATCCCATTATTTTTGGTGTAAGATGTATTTCACTTTTCAAGCGAATTCCTGGCCCCCATCTCAAAGATAGGGGTGTAATGACCATAATGTTTCCTCTTTACACACGAATTTCTGGTCCCCATCTCACAGAAGATAGGGCTGTAATGACCATGTTATTTTCCTTTTACACTTGAATTCCTGGTCCCCATCTCAGATAAGACAGGGCTGTAATGACCATGATATTTCCTCTTTACACACGTATTCCTAGTCCCCATCTCAGAAGATGATAGGGCTGTAATGACCATGATATTTTCCTTTTACACACGAATCCTGGTCCCGATCCTGAGAAAAAACAACAGAGATGCGATGAATAATCCATTAGATCACGTGATCTCCGAGGCTTGGGGGATAGAGGACAGGGGAGGATTAGGAGGAAATAAAGATAACAGGGTAGGGATTGCTGAGGAGGATTGAGGATTAGGTAGGGCATACCAGTTGTAAAGATTGCACCTATGTTGCGCTCTCCTTTCTGCTGCTGCCACTGCTGCCGTTGTTATTGAGTTGCGCCAGGCGTTTGTATATGGCGGAGTTGATAAACCTTGGGTATGAATCACGGTGCATGAGGGTGTAGATCTGTGTCTGTGCCTCGTCGAAGGTGTGGGGGGTTGGGTCCACCATGTTCCTGTTGATGATCTCACGCACCCGTGAGTCTAGCGACACCTGTAATACAGAGGGAGATGTCACCAAGATCTGTAATGCAGGGGATGTCACCAAGACCTTCAAAACAGTGAGGGATGTCAGCAAGACCTGCAATACAGTCGGGGATGTCAGTAAGGTCTGTAACAGATATTAGCAAGATAAATAATACAGTAGATATCAGCAAGACCTGTAATATAATGTGGTATATCAGTGACATGTGTAATACAAGCTAAATACCTGTAATAATGATAATAATAATAATAATAATAATAATAATAATAATAATAATAATAATAAACTTTGGAGACCGTTTTTGCCAGTCTTGGACCAAATCAATACATACCAACACTCATCAGCACACACCAACACACACCAACACTCACCAACACACACCAGCACTCACCAACACACCAACACACACCAACACTCACCAACACACCAACACAGACTGAAAAAGGAAGAAGTTGAGATCACAAGCAATGAATAAGAAGTATGTGAAGAACTCAATGTGAGATTCAAAGAAGTGTTTTCAGTGGAGACAGACTAGACTACAGCAAACCAGGATGGTTGGGTACACCAACAAGTGCTGGACACAATACACACAACCGAGGAGGAGTGATGAAGCTGCTCCCTGAGAGTGGGAGCAGAGGCACTGTGTGTGCCACTAACAACAATCTTAACACATCAAAAGACAGCAACTACCTGAGGTGTGGAAGACGGCAAACATAGTCCTAGTTTTTAAGAAAGGAGACAAGCAGGTAGCATTAAACTACAGCCCAGTGTCACTGACATGAATAGCATGCAAAGTCATGAAGTAGCTTATCAGAAAAGTGTGGTGGAGGACCTAGAAAGGAATGAGATTATACATGATAACCAGCATGGTTTCATGGAGAAAAAATCCTGCATCACAAACTTGCTGGAGTTTTACAAGGTGACAGAAGTAGGACAGGAGAGAGGGGTGGGTAGAATGAATTTTCTTGAAATGCAAGAAGGCTTTTGACACAGTTCCAGACAAGAGATTAGTGCAAAAACTAGAGGAGCCAGCAGGAATAACAGGAAAGACACTATAACCTGGTTGATCAGGCCCTGATCCACCATGAGGCCTAGTCACAGACCAGGCCGTGGGGGCGTTGACCCCCAGAACTCTCTCCAGGTATACTCCAGGTATAGTGGATCAGAGAATAGCTTACAGGATGGAAACAACGAGTGATGGTAGGTGACGAGGTGTCAGAGTGAGCTCCTGTGAAGAGTGGGGTTCCACAAGGGCCAATTCCAGGGCCAGTGCTGTTTCTGGTATATGTGAATGATATAAACGAAAGGATAGATTCAGAGGTGTCCCTGTTTGCAGACGATGTGAAGGTAATGTAGAGAATTCAAGTGGATGAGGAACAGGTAAGCCTACAAAGGGATCTGGACAGGCTGCAAGCATAGGCCAACTGGCTTCTTGAGTTTAACCCCACCAAGTGGGGTTGAAGATCGGGGAAGGTGAAAGAAGACCGCAGGCAGAGTACAGTGCAGAGGGTCAAAAACTCCAAACCTTACTAAAGGAAAAGGATCTTGGGGTGAGTATAACACCGAGCATGTCTCCGGAAGCACACATCAACCAAATAACTGCTGCAGCATACGGGCGACTGGCAAACCTAAGAATAGCGTTCCGACACCTGAGAAAGAAATCGTTCAAGACACTGTACATCGTGTACGTCAGGCCCACATTGGAGTATGCAGCATCAGTATGTAACCCACACCTGGTCAAACATGTCAAGAAATTAAAGTACAAAGGTTTGCAACAAGACTAGTCCCAGAGCTAAGGGAAATGTCCTAGGAGGAGAGGTTAAGAGAAATTTACCTGACGAAACTGGAGGACAGGAGAGATAGCGGGGACATGATAACGACATAAAAAACTAAGAGAAATAGACGGGGTGAACAAAGACAGGATGTTCCAGAGATGTGACACAGCAACAAGGTGACACAAATGGAAGTTGAAAACTCAGATGAGTCACAGGGATGTTAGGAAGTATTTTTCAGTCATACAGTTGTCAGGAAGTGGAACAATCTGGAGAGTTATATTAGTGGAGGCAGGACCCATACATAGCTTTAAGAAGAGGTATGATAAAGCCTCATGGAACAGGGAGAGAGTGGACCTAGTAGCGACCAGTGAAGAGGCGGGGCCAGGAGCTGTGAATCGACCCCTGCAACCACAAATAGGTGAGTACACACCAACACTTACAAGGACTCAGGTTGTGTTGACAGATGTTAATTCTCACTTGACACAAATAGTCCCACGACGTGCTTCCCCAGGTACCAGGTACTGGTTCCCCAGGTACCAGGTACTGGTTCCCCAGGTACCAGGTACTGGTTCCCCAGGTACCAGGTACTGGTTCCCCAGGTACCAGGTCTTGCTTCCCCAGGTACCAGGTACTGGTTCCCCAGGTACCAGGTACTGGTTCCCCAGGTACCAGGTACTGGTTCCCCAGGTACCAGGTACTGGTTCCCCAGGTACCAGGTCTTGCTTCCCCAGGTACCAGGTACTGGTTCCCCAGGTACCAGGTACTGGTTCCCCAGGTACCAGGTACTGGTTCCCCAGGTACCAGGTCTTGCTTCCCCAGGTACCAGGTACTGGTTCCCCAGGTACCAGGTACTGCTTCCCCAGGTACCAGGTACTGGTTCCCCAGGTACCAGGTACTGGTTCCCCAGGTACCAGGTTCTGGTTCCCCGGGCCCAGGTCTTTTTCCCCAGTACCAGGTATGGTTCCCCGGGTACCGGGGTAGGGGTTTCCCAGGTACCAGGTTTTTTCTTCCCCAGGTACCGGGTACTGGTTCCCCAGTCCCAGATGTTCCGCAGGACCAGTCTGCTTCCCCAGGTACCGGGTACGGGGTTTCCCCAGGTACCAGGTACGGGTTTCCCGCGGGACCGGGTCTTGCTTCCCCAGTACCAGACTTTTTCCGCAGGTACCAGTCAGTTTCCCCCCCATTTACCAAGTACTGGTTCCCCAGTACCAGGTACTTTTTCCGCGGGGTACCGGTCTTGTTTCCCCCATAAGGACTGGTTCCCCAGTCCCGGGTCGGTTCCCCCCCGGGTCCGGGTCTTGTTTCCCCAGGACCATACGGGTTTTCCCCCGGAAACCGGGACGGGTTCCCAGGTACAGGTCATGCTTCCCCGGGTACCGGGTAGGTTTCCCCCAGGTACCAGGTACGGTTTTTCCGCAGGACATATGTTTCCCCCCCAGGTACCAGGTAGGGTTTTCCGCAGGTACCAGTCTTGCTTCCCCAGGTCCCAGGTACGGGTTCCCCGGGTACCAGGTATGGTTCCCGCGGGTCCCCAAGTGTTGCTTCCCGGGTACCAGGTACTGGTTCCCCGGGTACCGGGACTGGTTCCGCGTCCCCGGGTCTTGCTTCCCAGGTTCAGGTACTTTTTTCTCCGGGTCCCAGGTCTTGCTTCCCCAGGTACCAGGTATGACCCCCAGGTACCATTCTTCTTCCCCGGGACCGGGAACGGGTTTCCCCCCGGGGTACAAGGTCTTGCTTCCCCAGGTATCAGGTACTGGCCCCCGGGTACCAGGTCTTGCCCCCCAATACCGGGTACGGGTTCCCCAGATACCAGGTCTTTGCTTCCCAGGCCCCGGTATTGTTCCCCGGGTCCAGGTTTTTGCTTCCCCGGGTACCAGGTAGGGTTCCCCAGGACCAGTCTTGCTTCCCAAGGTACCGGGACCTGGTACCAGTTCTTGTTCCCCCCAGGTACCAGTCTGCCCCCCCGGTACCGGTACTGTTCCCCCGGTAAAAGGGTTTTGCTTCCCCCGGGTTCGGGTACGGGGCCCCCAGGTACCGGTCTTGCTTCCCCAAGTACCGGGTACGGGTTCCCCAGGTACCCAGGTCTTGCTTCCCCAGGTCCCAGGTCGGGTTTCCCCGGGTCCACGTTTTTGCTTCCCGAGTACCGGGACGGGTTCCCCAGTACCACGTCTTGCTTCCCCAGGTACCAGGTACGGGTTCCCGGGTACCCGTTTGTTCCCAAGGTATCAGGTACGGTTCCCCAGGTCCCACGCTTGCTTCCCCAGGTACCGGGCACGGGTTCCCCCAGGACCAAGTCTTGCTTCCCCGGGTACCGGGTACGGGTTTCCCCCATACCACCTTGCTTCCCCGGGACCGGTAGGGGTTCCCCCGGGTACCAGATCTTTTTCCCCCCCCCAGGTACCGGGTCGGGGTTTTTCCCCCCAGGTCCCAAAAACTGGCCCCCAGGTACCACGTCTTGTTTCCCCCGGTACCGGGTACTAGTCCCCGGCCCCAGCCCGCTTCCCCATACCAGATACTGGTTCCCCAGAACCACGTCTTGTTTCCCCCCAGTACCAGGTATTGGTTCCCCAGGTACCCGCCCTTGTTTCCCAGGTACCAAACTGATTCCCCGGGTACCACGTTTGTTTTTCCCAGGTACCAGGTACTGTCCCCCAGGTCCACGTCTTGGGTTTCCCAGGTACCAGGTAGTTCCCCAACACCAGTCTTGCTTCCCCGGGTCCCAGAACTGGTTCCCGGGCACCACGTTTTTTGCTTCCCCGGGTCCACCACATCTTCCTTTCCCAGGAGCGGAAAAGGTTCCCCGGGTTTTCCACTCTGTTCCCCCGGTACCAGGTACGGCCCCCCGGTCCATGCTTCTTCCCCGGGTTCAGGTACGTTTCCTCAGGTACCACGGCTTGTTTCCCAGGTCCAAGTCCGGGTTCCCCAAGTACCACGTCTTGTTCCCCAGGTCCCAGTACTGTTTCCCACAGGTGCCACGTCTTGCTCCCCGGGTACCAGTACGGGTTCCCCATACCACGCCTTGCTTCCCCAGGTACCAGGTACTGGTTCCCCAGGTCCCACGTCTTGCTTCCCCCAGGTAGGGTTCCCCCAGGTGCCAGTGTTTTTCCCCCGGGTTTATACATTTCCCCCCAGGTACGGGGCCCCTTGGGTATCAAAAACTGGTCCCCCCGGGTACCACGTTTTGCTTCCCCGGGGATCGGTACGGTTCCCCAGTACCAGGTCTTTTCTCCCCAG